TTCAATTTTTTGCAAGTGTTTACAAACTTTTGGGACAACCTAATAAATACTGGTCACAAATTAAAATCCTTACATTTGCCTTGATAAAGTCCCTGATAGGACAAAACACATTGGCTAAGATAAGTTTTTCTTTTGTGTTTTTCATATTGTCCTTTTACAGATATACTCTAGCTGAAATTTATACATACATAATAATAATAATAGTTGACCACTTGTATCTGAGGATACACGTCCATTATGGCAGCTAGTCAATCCCTATTGCAGATGCTTGCTCAGGCACATTTCTGTTTGTTCAACAACCACAGAGCCAACCTGTGGTTTATACGGCAACTATACTGAGCAGACCTTAGTTACAGTTTCTGGGAGATGTATTATCTAGCATGATCAACAATCTGAACAACACTAGCACGCTCAAACAACTCGGTCATGATGACTTGTGACTTTGTGCTAGCACAGCTAACAACGGCTCACAAGAGTCCCATCTACCCAATTTTACTCACAAGGCTTGGGTCAAACCGTAGTCTGATTTTCAGGCACTTTCCAAAGGCGCCACATGCTGGGATCATTCCCCACCAGACTGATAATGTCAGGAAGTCTCCTTCCTGACAAATCAAATCGTCTTGAGATTCAAACCCAGATCTCATGGTCAGAATGCAAACGTTCTAACCACTCAATATTCCTATATATATATATATATATATATATATATATATATATATATATATATATTATATATATATATATATGTTACTGCTTTTAAACATATTTAGTGGTTATACATGTTTGAGTAGAATATCCTTGTGTTTTAATGTAAATTTATGCCTGTGCATTTAATGGTCTTTATAAACTAAATAAGCCTTGCAGCACGGTTTGAATCAAAATTCCACTTATTGGGGGGAAACCAACATGATGAACCGTATATTTTCGACCGCTTAACCAAAGGAAGCTTTAAAAGTAACATTAAACTATTATTCAATTCAACATGAAAATCTCATGGACATAAGAGTAAGACTAATCTGCTAAATTTATTAAGACACTGGAATAAACAAATTTTCACTATCTAATAATGTTTAAAGTGCGCAAATAATGGCAGATTATAAATAATATTGAAACAGGATGCTGATCTTGAAAAATTTCAGTTAATAGTCAAATTGTTAATTATGTTTTTGTATGAAAAAAAAAAAAAATCCTGAAGATGGTCTTTACTAGACTGAAAAAATGGCTCAGAAGTTGACATTTTTTAAATTAAAACAACTATAATTGCATATTAGGATTTTTTTTTGTTTTGAAAAAGTCGGAAGATTTTTCTTCAGCAAAATTCTAAGATTTTTCCAATATATATATATATATATATATATATATATATATATATAAAATATATATATATATATATATATTTTTTTTGGTCCTCCATGTAATTGTTTTTTTTCATTTTTCCTTTAGTTTAAACTTAATTATTCTATCTCATAGAAAAAAGAAATGTAACCATATCCTTTCTTTTTACTTTTTTTTTCTTGCATTAAAAGAGGGTTTATCTTGTGTCTTTCTTACTTACACCTTCTTTTCAAGGGAAGAAAAAGAATGTTGTATGTTCCGTCTTTGTCAGGGAAAAAAGAATCACAATGCATCATTTGAATGGAATCTGTAAGAATGTTGAATTGGACCCCCTTTGTATAGGGAAGAAAAGAATGTTATAATTGGAAATATATTTGTCAAAAGAAGAAAAGAATGTTGTAAAGTTTTTGAAGGAAAAAAGAATAATTGGACTCTATATTTGTCATAAAAAGAATGTTCTAATGGACTTTATCAAAACAAAAATGTAAAAAAATTTTATTTGTCAAGGGAAAAAAGAATTTTGTAATTTTTAAATTTAAAAGAAAAGAAAAATATACATTTGGATAACTGAAGAAAAAAGAATGTTGTAATTGTTATTTGAGGAAGAAAAGAATGCTAAGTGATATATTTTAACAAATTTTTAAACAAAATATATAAGTCCTCAGGTTATGTTGTTGAATAAAATAATAAATGCAAAAATAAAATCTTGTTTCATTTGTCTTGATAAAGTCCATAGAATGCAAATGGCATGGCAGAAGAATATGTTTGCTTTTCTTTCTTCCCCAGATTTGATCTTTAGTAAGGTATTGAGACAAATTTAATTTTTTTATATCTATTAAGAAAAATAAAAAATATATTGCATTTTTTTTTTTCTTTTATATATGTATTATTTTTTTTTATATATATATATATATTATTATATATATATATAATATCAAAACAAAAAACATATTCAGTTGTATGGATATGAGTTTGTGACCCTGGGTTTCATAAAATATTTTTAGACTATATCATCAACAAAAAAGACGATTACATTTGAATTGGAAACTTTTATACGTTGTTTAACTATGTTTGACGTGATCATATTGAAACAGAACGCTCCTCCTGTAAAAATTTCAGTTATAGTCTAATGTTAATCCTTTTATGAATATGTCCTGAAGATGGTCTACAGACTGAAATGTCCGACACATTATATTAACATTAAAACAGCATGATTGCACATTAGGATTTTTGTTTGTTTTTCGTATTTTTCCATACTGTGATCCAAATATATATATATCCATATAACATATATATATATATATATATATATATATATATTTTTCCTCCATGTGAGTCTTAGAGAGATATCTCATAGAAATGTGATGATTATCCTAGATTATTACTTTACCATTACAACAGAATATATAAAATCTAGTATAATTATTTAGGAATGGACATCTGTAAAAGTTGAGGAATATAAAAATTTCAGTTAAAAATAAATATCTGTAAAGGAAATATGAGTAAAGTTTTGTTTCATACACTTCTGATGTTTTATCAAAGCAAATGTTGGATATTAGAATAAAATGTTAATTTAAAATTTTCAAATTTAAAAACCCTCACTAAATATACATCTGATAACAAAAGGAAGGACCAATTATGGAGGATGCAAGTATATAATTTAACAACAAAAAAACAAAAGTGAGTAAATGGACTTGTTGAATAAAATAATAAATTAAAATAAAATGCTTTAATTTGTCTTGATAAAGTCAGACTCAATGTAGAATTCATTTGAATTCATTCTAATTGTTTTAATATTAAATTATACTATAAAATTAAAAAAATACATTGATTTTTTTTTTTGTTTTAATATATAGCTAGCTTTTTGTATTATAAAATTATTTAAAAAATCAGAGCTAACATAAAAAGTTGTATGGATATGTTTTCCCTGGGTTTATTTTTGTTTTCATCAGAAAAAACTTAAGTTTTTTTTTGAATTGGAACATTTTATGATCAAATGTTTGGTGGTGAAAGGGGGTTTTCTGAACTCCTTGGGATGACACACTCACACACAGACACAGATGTACACACATTTGACACAAATACACTTATGCATAGATGCACACATACACTTTGTAGACCCTGTTTCCTTTTACCAAACTCCTATCCATTCTATATTAAATATATATATATATTGATAGAGAGAGACATTCCAGAGCATTGAATATATATATATTTTATATATATATATATATATATATATATATAATTATTTATTCGAAAATTATAACATAAAATTTATAAAAATCACTGCCATTTTGTTTCAACACTCTTTTTATCAATTTTATTTGTATAGAATAAAGGAATTTAAAAGGTTCAAATACAATCAAACACCCCTCACTAGGGGGAAACATTGTTCCATAAGCAGAATGACCAATCAATATATATATGAGAAACAAAAAATATACTTAGGTTATAATAATTATTTAATGCTTTAACGTTAGGGTCATACAAAGTAGATATATTTGAATTCATTCTAACTAATTAATATTAAATTATACTATAAAATTAAAAATTACCAATTTTAAATTTTAAATTTAATCTATATTAAGTTTAAAATTATAAAATTATTTAAAAAAGAAACTGAGAAAAAAAAATGACATGTTTTTCTATTTATTTTGTTTTTATTGAAATTAAGTTGGAATAAACATTTAGATCAAATGTTGTTCTGAACTCCGTGATGACTTTGATACATTTGAAGCAAAAAATAGGCAACAGAGATTGATTTGAACTTTTTAAAACAAATATTAAACACAATACTTGATAAAACGTAGCATTGAAATGGCTATTTTTGTAGTATTTCACATTTATGTCAAAAGTAAATAATATAATTGCTCTACTCTGAATTGATATTTAATTTTATTTGTTGGTTATTAATATATATCCTCCATACAAATACTTGGATATATATCCAAAAGAATACACATACAGAATATATATATATCTCCATACAAAAGAATATATATACGTATATATATATTATATATATATACTCCATACAACAGAATATATATACGTATATATATATTATATATATATCTCCATACAACAGAATATATATATACATATATATATATATATATATATTCCATACAACAAAATATATATATTATATATATATATATCTCCATACAACAGAATATATATATACATACATATATATTATATATATCTCCAGACAACAGAATATATATGTTAGAAAAAATTTTTTTTTTAAATCAAGATAATAATTTTCTGCATAAGTAATTGCCATCATCTCACTTTCAACTTCAAAAATACATGAATTTTGGAAATATAAAATTTGATTATCAATTGTCAGCAATTTAAAAAAAAATTGTCAAACTCTTGTCAATAACTTTGAGGAGAGTCATTAATATCCCCACCACTGGTTCCAAAACCTTTCCCAGTTGTTGCTCTCTCGGCTCCCAGGCAATATCCCAGCACCCACACCTATGAAGACATGTCTTTCTTGGTATTAGGTAGCCTACAAATTCAAAAACAACAATTGAATACTAAATGCACCTATATATTTCAGCATTTCTTTGATGTCATTACACAAGATATATACAAACATCAGTGGCTATACTGCTATATCTACAAACCTAGAGCATTGGCCACTATAGACATCAAAGGAAAGGAAAAGAGGTGGGGGATAAAATGAAAAGAATAGCGGAAAAAGAAAAAGCACAAAATAAAAGGAAAGATTGGAAAAAATAGGAAAAAGAAATGAAAAGAATAAAGAAAAAGACAAAAAGGAAAGGGGAAGATGGAAAGGAAAAGTGAGGGAAAAAGAAAAAGAGTAAAGAAAAAAGGACAAGGTAAAAATGGGAAACAAAAAAAAAAGGAAAAGAAAAGACAGATAAAGAAAGAAGGAAAATGAAAAGAGAAAAGAGAAAAAGTGGGGAAAAGAAAAAAAGAAAAGGAAAGAAAGAAAAGGAAATCTAATTTAATAGTGTTAATGCATTTATGCATTTCAGTCTTTTTTTTTTTTTTAGATACTGTTAGACAAAATATGTACAAGTATCTGTGGCTATATTGCTACTCCTACAAACCTAGAGGATTGGCCACTACAGATATCAACAGTCTGATTTGGCTGGTACATGTTATGTCCTGTCCAGATAATATCAGCAAGATACAAACAAATGTTTGGTTATTTAACTTTGGGCAACAAAACAAAATATGAAAAGGGAGGAAAAAGAAGGAAAAGTATTTTTTATTTTGTTTTGCTTTTTTATGGCTTATCAACCCTTTTGGGTTTATTTATAGTCAGAAAATAGTGTTAGATTGTAAAAAAAGTTTTTGAGATAATAATGTTTTACTGATACAAGCCTTATTAATTAACTGATAGCCAAAGGGGAGAAGAGGTATTCATATGTTTCCCAAGGTATTTAATATTTTTGTTGTAAATTTAAAAAAAAAAAAATGTAAAATTTACTTTCATGTGTTTAGGTTTTATTTCAATTCTAGTCATAGCTTTTTAAAAAATAAACATTGCTGAGGAATTAAGATACTATTTTAGCTATCGGTGTCAATAAAAAAACAAGACATCCTTTTGACACACTGTCTTGTGGGCACATTTGTCAATATTTGAGAAGACTCATTAATATTCAAAATTTTTGTCAGAAATACAAGAAAATTAGTTGAAATTGTGATTTTGCCCACTTGTCTGCCAAGGAACTTTAGCTAGCAACAGCGAGGTAGCATTGTATAAAGAAAATGGCACAAGGTTTCTCTCTCTTTTCAGTTCACCCAAAGCAATACAGAGACAAGATGTGTCTTGGTTTCAGATCTCACATACTATCCCTGTGTTGTGTTCCATGTAACAAATGATTCACTGGGGGACTAACCCCAGAAGGGAATAAGACAAATGTTTTGTCCCTACAGTATCTTTTGGGTAAAGAAAGCAAGATAGAAAGAAAAGAAAGCAAGATAGAAAGAAAGCAAGAAAGAAAAGAGGGAGACCTTGTGTTCTTTTCCTTATATACTTCTATTATATAATGCCATCTAGTGGCTGTTAGCCAAAGCTACTTGGCAGACAAGTGGGATAATAGCAGAAATTCCAAATTCTGTTTGAACAAGAGAACCCCTTAGTGGGCTTGATGTTGTTAACATGTTGCAGCCAACCCATTCTTCAGGCTTCATCAGTTCTATAAATCCATAGAAAAAAAAACAACAAAAAAACTGTTTCTATAGATGACACAAAAGAGTTCCTTTATCCAAACAAAATTTGGAATGTCTAAATGCCCCACATTTCTAGCTGACAAGGAATCAGCTTTCCCACAACTTAAGAAAAAATAAGTAAGTAAACAGAAAATATACCACTTTATAATGACAAAGAACTGTTAAATTCTATGCAGATTAAATGATATCAATTTATATAGGATAACACGTCTAACAATAAAATAATATTTAATTATGGCTTTGGCTGAATGAAAAAAAAAATGGCAAATTTTCTAGTTTGGACCAATGGTCGTATATTTGGTTTAAAACCACTAAATTCAGATGTAAATGATTCAAACGACCCTTAAAATTGAAAGGAGCCAGCAGCAAGTCCAAAATGTTCAGTTATTGAGCTCCATGTTGTTGATTTACTGAACAAACCACCTGAGGAGACCATAATGGTACAGTCAGCAACAAAATTATACGTATACTTATCAATTTTGAATGTTTTTTATCCATTTCTCAGAATCTAATGCCTGTATCTTGCCAGGATTTTTATATGTTAATAAACACAAAAAATGAACATAAAACTCAATTTTAAGAACAATAGATTAAATACAACAAATTTGACAGGCGAATTATTCAAAATAGGAAAAGACAAAATTATTCATACAGTAGAAAATATCATTTTAAATTGATTGATATGTGTAAGTAATTGACATAATTGTTATGGGACCTTACCCATAATAACATAATGGACTATTCCATATGTAATAAATACTGCGCCTCAAGAGGAAGCAGTGAGTTCAGTCTGAAGTCTGGAGTGAGGTCCGTCAGGAGTCTGTCCATCAATCAGTCAGAGCAAGCGAGTCGAGTCAGTCCGAAACAGAGTCACGTTCAGACAAGTACTACTAAACCTGATTGTTCGCACTAACATTTTCTACCTCTCTGTATATATTCATGTTTGTAATATATCTGTGTTATTCCATATACGTGTTCGAGTTCTTCTTTATTGGTTCTACCTTGGACTATCACTGTAGTACAAGGAACCGGACCATAACAATAATTATTTTATTGAAGCCTTCTAGACTATTTATTCATTAGAATATTTGTGATAATTCCAGCAAAGAACATCATGAGGTGAATCGAATGTCACCATTATTATTCCTACATTAACAACAAGATGGCGGAAGACAAAGGAGCTTAGTGTTGACCTGAGACAGAGAATTATTAACTTCCACAAATCAGGAAATAGTTACAGCACTATTTTAAACTGGTTAGCTATCTCTTGATCTATGGTACAGTCTGTTATAAAGAAGTTTAAACAGTGTGGCAAAACAGAGAACTTGTCTGGGTGTGGGAAAAAACCCCAAATTGTCACCAAAAACTGCACAAAAACTGCGTCACAAGGTTAATATAAACCCAAGAGTTGTTTTGAAAGACATTACCAAAAGTTTGGATACGATGAGTATCAGCATAAATACTCATACAATAAAACGATGAGTATCAGCGTAAATACTCATACAATAAAACATTGTTTAAATAGAAATGAGTTGTATGGAAAACGACCACGACAAACCCCTCTTCAAAAACCATGTCACATTGTTGCTCAGTTTAATTTTGCCAAAACATTTTGGACAAAGAAAATTGCTTTTGGGAACAAGTACTATGGAGTGATGAAACAAAAACTGAGCTTTTTCGACATAATGAAGTACAGAAGATTTGGAGCAAGAAAGGTGAGGCTTTCCTCCCTAAAGACACAGTGGCAACATTAAAACATGGAGGTGGCTCGATGATTTTTTGGGGTTATTTTAGCTCAAAGGGGACAGGACAATTAATTACAATAAGAGGAATAATGAGATCTGCAGACTATATCAAAATTCTGGATGAAAATCTACAACTATTTGTGCAAAATCAACATCTAGGTCAGTTATTTACTTTCCAGCAACATAATGATCCCAAACATGTCTAAATCAGTGATGTAGTTTCAGGAAAAGAAGATTACAGTTCTCCCATGGTCATCAGTAAGTCCTGACTTGAATCCTATTGAAAATCTATGGCAAGAATTGAAAGTTTGAATAAATCGTCAGTCACCAAAACCTTCAGGAATTAGAATGTGTAACCATTGAAGAATGGAAGAAAATCACAGAAAAGATTTGTTCAAATTTCATCAAAAATAAATTACATTAAGTTATAAATATGAGAGGC